CATTACAGACTAAAACAAAGAAACAAATAAAACCCCAATAGGAGTACTCCTCTTTGATTAAAGGCAAAAACTGTGTTCTTTACTGCTAATGGCTAACTCCCTGAAGATAATTCTTGGTAATAACAGTTTTCTAATCATTCTCTTTCAGGCTTCCAATATTCTGTTTAACATCTCCGTTTCAAAGAATTCCCAGTATTTACCACCTCCTTCCATTCACAAAGGGCAAAAAACATTTGTTCTATCTGAAGCCCAGTATTTCCTTCCAATGACAAACTACACAAAAGTGCCATAAGCACTTTTTCCCATTCTTAGGTTTTCACTTAACTCAGGAAGACCCCTCTTTTCATGTCAACTCCTTAGATATTCCCGTATAGGGACAAAAGGACAGGGAAGAGGCTTTGAAAGACCTGATGGGCCTTCCAGTACAGCCAGGCTTTACAGTCAGCACACAAGTCGTAGCAGAGCACACAGCCTTACCAACATAACCTGGGTGAACAGAGTTAACACCACCCATGAGATGCAAAACCAGTGCCAGCTCTCTGCAAGATAAAACAAATTAGTTATTTCTAAACTGGGGAATATTAACAACTCTTTCATCCCTGAAGCACTGTTTTGCTGAATGTGAAAGAAAACAAAACCTTCATTTTTTACTTCCTTTTAAACATGTTTATAAGTATTCTATTAAGAACTTATCTACCTGTACTATAATTGTTGAAATTATGATTGTTTCTGTCAATTAATTTTTAACAAATAAAAAACATATCACTAAGAAAAGAATGGCTTTTGCTTTTTTTTTTTAAGCTTAACTATCCAAAGTATTCACCTCTTGTTTTCAAACTTAAGGTTACCAAGGTTAAAGTAAGGGCCATTTGATAAAACCAAAATTGTTTTAAGAATGGTACTCTCTTAGGGCTGGGATTGTGGTTCAGTGGTAGAGCGCTCACCTAGCACGTGCGAGGGCCCTGGGTTCGATCCTCAGCACCACATAAAAATAAATAAATAGAATAAGAGTATTGTATTCTATAACTAAAAAATAAATATTAAGAAAAAAAATGGTACCCTCTTGCCAGTGCTGCTATCACACCCATATTCTGGTGTCATTAGCATGCAGAGGGCAGGGGCTTTCCTCATGTCAATTTAACACCATGAAAAAGATTCCTAAGCTATTAAAAGATAATTCTGAAACAAGGGGAAGAATTTATTCCAAAATAATTTTATATACATTAAGAAAATATTTACTGAATATAACACAATTAATACCAAGAAAGGATCCCAGTTTAAACCAAGGAGCCAAGATAGTTATAAAAGTAAGTAGTAAAAAGATGACTAATAAATGTCACAAGAGATGAAGTTTTAACAAAACAAAGTATACTAAATCATACTTGGGAGATACACTCAATGTTTATAAAATAAAGGAGTAAGGGGCTGGGGCTCAGCGGTAGCACACTTGTCTGGCATGTAATTAAATTTTAATGTAATTAAATTATTCTCAGCACCACATATAATTAAATTTTAAAAAAACAATAAAATAAAAGTCTCTCAACTAAAAAAAAATATTTAAAAAAATAAAGGAGTAAAAAAGTTACAGCATCTTTTAGAACTTCCACTGTGTATTTTGCTTAAATTTTGGCTTCATTTCCTATAAAATTAGAGGTAAAGAAAAACCACAAATTGTGCTCAAATTTAAGTGATAATTCCCTAATGTAAGGCAGCTCTTCAAGCTAATTTTCATATTATGTCCTATAGGCTAACATTCATTAATAATGGAAATACTAAGGAATACAGACTGACCTATCTTGCTCAGCAGGGAAAGGCTGTATGTTGAGAAGGCACTGAAGTAAGTGGGCAATTCAAGGGTTATTTGTTCTGAGATTAGGTCTGAGTCTGTTAAGCAAAGAGCAAACAGTACTGGTCATGGCCCAAGACAAGAGAATGCATATTAATTTATCAGTTCTTTGCTTTCTGTGGACAATATGAGGATCCAGCTAAGTTAGCTGGAAAACACAACTGCATTAGCTACTGAAGATCACAGGAACTTAAGGATACACAAAGCACACAACTTCAAGCATGGTAAGAAGAAGAACTGAGAGATCAAATTATAGATCTATTGTAAGGATATTGGGAACATCTTGATTTCTTATGAAAAGTTGACAACCATGTAACAAACATGCTGGAGGAAAAAAATATGACTGCATAGAGAAATGTTACAAAAACTATTTCAATGTAAGCAAAAAAAAATGATGAAATAACAATTTGGGAAACATATTTGTTAGAAGACTCATATATAATGGACACAAAATTACTTACTAGAATCACTATTCTATATTTTTTAAAAGGTTAAGGCTTCTAACTTACTTAAATCCAAGTTACAAAGCCAGAGATACAAATAGCATGTGTTGTGTTTAAGTAAAATGACAAAATGTATGTGACTGGCACTTGAAAAGAAAGTACGACTTTAAGAGTAGCTCTACTGAGGATCCAATGGCCAATCCAGCCAAGATTACAACAGCTTCCAGTCCCTGTGGAATCAATGGTGCCAAGCTAGAGAATGAAGTATTTAATAAAAGTAACACTGTGAAAATACATATTAGAGCCATAAGTGAACACCAATGAATGGCTCCCGGAAGCCATAATTATCTTAAATTATGTACAGTTCATGAACAAAAAGCATACGTGTAAACAAAAATAGATATGTAAACCCCATATAGAAATTTCTTGCTCACGTAAAACCCTAGTGAAGAAAAATGATGCACTAAAGCTCATCTAAATAAAGCCAATGTTAATCCCAGCAGACCTGGGCTTTAGATTCACTGGCTAATCTACAGCTTGTTCTCTATGCAGTAACTGGCTTCTGTGTACTAGCCATAAATCCTGGGAACCTTGGTCTCTTAAAAAAAAAAAAAAAAAAATCACTGAAATGTAATTTAAAGTGCTTTAGAGTCTATCAGCCTCCTGGTTAACTGAGTTAGAAAATAAAAAGAAAACGAAAAAGAAAGAATAACACCCTAATTGGTATTTCTTATTGTAAGGACTTCATAACAAAATCTGCATCTACATGTACCCCTGAAACTCTTTGGAGGCAGAGAGGCAGGTGATCACTGTGAAGACAGTCATCATATACATGCAGACAATGAATAGAAATTCAGAAAAAATTCAATTTTTGATGAATATATTATTTTACTTCTCCAAATACTTTCATCTTCTTTTCAAGTAATTAATTTATAAAGCATCTGTCCCTGAGCCAGCCTCTTAAGTACATTTCGCTGGAGCAGAGGACCTGGTTCCAACCCCAGCTACGTTGTAGAGTTAGTGGATGTCACCCATTCATTGCAAACTGAGCTATGACAAGAATTGTATGTACACCAAGGAGAGACACTAAAGTTCTTGAATGAAAATAAACAGCAGTACATGCTGTACACCATGCTTAAGAATACGTAGAAAATTGCTACCAACTTATGACAAATTTTCCAACCTGGGGGCTGGGATTGTGGCTCAGTGGAAGCGCGCTTGCCTAGCATGCATGACACACTGGGTTCGATTCTCAGCACCACATACAAATAAATAAAATAAAGGTCATCAACAACTAAAAAATATTTTAAAAAAAATTTTTTTCCAACCTGTGTCACAGTACCAATTAGCAGCAATGACAACCCTACAAACTTAGGTGCCAATAACAATAAACAACAAGTGAGGAAAAAAGTGAAATTCACTGTCCACCTGCTTCCCATGAATCAATTTAAATTTCATAAAACCACAAGCCAATTTCCAAATACTCAGCAAATGCTGAATTTACAAACAGTGTGCATGTGTTTCACACACTCTCTACATTCTTACCAACCTATAATTATCTGCTTTGCAAAGCCTCTAGTATAAAACAGATTCCATTACCTTTTTCATTCCTTCAAAAAACCAAGTAAATAGACAATACTCCAACTTTCAAAACAAGACCATAATAAATTTTATCCCCTCCCACCAAAGAAATAAAAATCTATATAAAGATTATGATTTCAAAACCATGTGCCACAGATGCCCAAATGTGCACCTCGTGCAGCCCTCACTTACCTTCTTCTAAGGCTATGTGTATAACATAAAATGGGTGCCTTATGCACGCTACACATCACACTAACACATACGCATTACAAATGCTTGTTCTCAGATATTTGGAAAGAATATGACGAGTTTTATTTAGTGCCAAGACAGCTGAAATTCAAAATTAAAATAATAACTATCATGAACTCCCATCTTAAACAAACCTTAGCAGAAATTAAGTAGTAACAATGATTCTTCAGGTCAAAATACTTTAACAAGAAAATAAATGCAAAATATTTATTTGTACAGACTTATTTTAGTTAATAAAGAAAACCTCATTTAAATTAGGTTCTCTATTAAAAAGCAAATAAAGTAAAAATGAATTATTTTCGGGCATCACTATGATACGTTGTATCCGCTACGCTTACTAATATACAACTCAATCACCATTTACCAGATGCAGAGGAAAATGCTTTACAAGCTGATTTGTCAAATTTTTAACTAAATTACTTTCTTTTGGGTGATGTGGCATTTACATACAATTGTAAAGTCCCAGAATAATTCAAATTAGTATCAGATGTTTATCTACCATTTATATACTTTGCACAGTGGGAATTTAAGTTTCCATCTTACACAGACCCCTACTCCGTATCTCTACCAAAAAGCAACAAGCTAAACAAACAACAACAAAAAGAACTCAACTGAACCACAGAAATACCTGCCTGCACGCAACACACCAACCAGCCAAATAAAACCTACCCAACAGATGTCCATTCCTACAAGTGGAATAAACTCATCCAGAACTATAGTGCTCCTAAGAATTAAGCCCTACAAAAAAATTAATAAATCACAAAATATATCTGAAACCTGGAAACTTCTGTTCCATGTGATAATATGAAGTAAAAAAATAATAGTTCTTTTAAAAAATCTTTAACTCATTACATTTCCAAATCAGCAAATTAAGGTCTTACTGGTAAACTTGATGGTCTTTCTTGCTGTATTAAATTCAAGTCTTCATGATTCGGCTTTCCTGGGGCCAGAGGAGGTTGAGATCTAGTTCCATAGCCTTCCTGAGACATGTCCTAAACAAATACAAATACAAAATATTTCATAAATATTTCAGTGAATTTTAAATTTCTTCAGTAATCAAAATGAAGCAAAAATTTTTCACAGTATCAAGTAATATAACATTTCTGCTAATATGTAAACACATTATACCTGTGATTTCTTTAGCACTTTGTTGAAAGCAAAAAATAAACACAGTGAATCAATAGCAGAACAAAATACATATATAAAATTAGCTGGTTTTTTCATTAAGCCTTATAAACTGAGCATTGCATTTGAGTTTTACAGGAGGGTGACCCGTCAGTAAAAGAGGAGGAGGAAGAGCCAACTGCAGCCAAACTCTTGCAGAACAAGACCACACTGTTGCTTAATTCGGGAGTTGAATTGTATTATTTAATTCTGATTTTGGTCAAACTGCCTTTAATATTACCTCAAAAAATTAATTAATTATGTCAAACATTAAGTAAATCTATACATTGTAAGTTTTAAGACATAGCCACAAAGGCTGCAATTGAATAAACAAGGAATAATATTTAAAGTAGTCACTTTAGGGATTATGAGACCAGCAGTTTGCCTAGGTCTGGTTAATTGACATACACCTGTTTTAAAGCCTTAATATTAACTTCAGCATTTTATAGCTCTGAAATATTAGCTGGCAATAACTAATGATACAATAAGTTGTATTTTTACAGGCTATAGGGTATTTATCATTTTTTTTCTTAACTCTGATTTACTTAATGTTTGACTTAAATTACTTCCAAGATCCTTCATGTTCAGATAAGTGCTGATGGAAGGATGAAAACTAAGTAATGATGTTCTAGGAGACAATGTAATAAATAATGTGAGTGAGCCCTTTGCTCTGTGGTTTATGGAGAGACAAATAAATAATGTGAGTGGGCCCCTTGCTCTGTGGTTTACGGAGAGGCCTAAATGCCATGGCAATGAAAATGTCTGTTACTATGGCCAAAAACAATACGTTCCAATAAAATTAGGAAAAGACTAAAAATCTTCTGATAAGTGTTTGGCAAAGTAATAATAATCCAAGATTATTGTGTTGATTGTGTTATAAAGATGATATGTTTTCTACTAATTGTGTAGTGAAGATATGTTTTCTACTAATTCTTTTTGTGTTTCAATAGCAGATTGTGATGACCTTGGACCAAGAGTCAAGTGACTGAAAGATAAAATTTCCCAGTTACATTCTTTTTGTATATTAAGAAAGGGGGAATATGTGGAAGGCCAACCTTACATGTGACTGAGTTACACTCCCCAGCTGGGTGCTGAGGCGCTCAGTCGCAGAAATGTGGCACCCTTCTTGGGTGCGAGGGTCGGTGTCTTGTGCATGGGTGTGTCTTGCTACAGCCCCATGGGTGAAGCTACGCTCACCTGTTCCTTTGTAATATAACCCTTTGCCCTGTTTAGGATAGAATCTTCCATGGAAGTGCCTTGTGTGTGTCCCCTTCTCTTACTGTGCCCTTGGGTGTGGCCTACCCAGGTGTCAGTCAACCTGCTGACAGTGGACATCATGAAGATACTCAGCCCCCTGAAACCTGACCCCTTGCCTCATTTAAATAGCTTTTCTCAATAAAAGGGGTCAGCGCATGCTCTCGCTCTCTCTCTCTTTCTGCGGACCCTTAAGGTCAGAGGAGCCGTCACAGCGACTCCGAAGAAAAGGGTAAAAAAATAATAATAATAATAAATAAATTAATTAATTATGAAAATTTTATTATCAACTGACACTTAATGTGCTCCTTCAATTACCCACAAAAGACCATCATGGGGGTGGGGGTGATACTGGGGATTGAACCCAGAGGCACTTAACCACTGAGTCACATCCCCAGCAATTTTTTATATTTTATTTAGAGACAGGGTCTTGCTGAGTTGCTTAGGGACTCACAAAGTTGCCAAGACTGGCTTTGAACTCAGGATCCTCCTGCCTCAGCCTCCCCAACTGCTGGGATTACAGGCATATGCCACCATGCCCAGCAGCATCAATTATTATTAAGCTCAGGGTATCCTGGGGTTTCTACAAAACTAATAACCACTCATGCACAGAAGTCCACATGCTCATGTGGCATGGTTTTCACAAAACCACAATAAAAAATAAATCAACAAAGTAAACCCCAAAAAACCTGCAGAGGGACCAGAAACGTATCGTTTACATGGGCTTTCTGGCATCCTGTAGAATATTTTTGCAGGATGCATACTCTCAGCACTGTGCTGGAGGAGCAGTATATAATGTGATGCCACACCGCACTTCCTGTACACCAGCTCCCTAGCTACTTCTTGACATTGGCTCAGATACTAAACATTCTACTTATCATCTGCACCTGAAGTGAAACAGAAGGTCACAAAGCTAAGGATTTATTACAGCAAGTCTCAGCCGGCACAAGGTTGAAAAACCAGTTTCTAACTGGAATTCCCCTCACCCCAAAAAAGAAAGAGAAATAAAATAAAATTTTCTCTCCTTCCCTGTCAGTTCAATAGGTGTTGGCACTAAAAAAACACCATGTACAACTTCTCCTTCTCCTACTAAATTCCTAAATATTACTTGGAAAATTAAGGTTTATAAGTGAAACCCTATTAAAAAAGCTTCTGCTGCCCCACCCTTCTCTCACAGTGTATAGACTTAAATTGCATGACTTTTCTGATGCCAAGAAACTCTGCACAGAGGCTGGTACTACAAAGTATAAAAGCTGCACAAACTAGATTTAACTAGCCAATGCAAGCTCAGTGTTGGTGTGAACTGCCTTTAAGCAGACTCTGAAATAAAAAGCATGGCAACAATTCAGCATTTTCACATGCAATCCTTATTACTTTTAAAGAAATGTCCATCAAAGAAAAAAGAGAGAGAGAGAGAATCAGATATTTAACTAATAGACATGTAAAACACCCAGCCAGGACTGTATTTTCCTATGAGAATTCAATCACAGTTACACGGGTTTTATTTGGTAACCACAATACCAGGAGGTGGGAGTAATCACATGCAAGCCAAGGACACTTGAACAGGCAGCTCTTCCATCTGGTTGCCAGCAGAGGGTAACAATTAGGCTTGTGGGGGACAAAAGCAAGGGCTGAGGGATTATTACCACCCTCACTGCCCTCCCCCACAAACCATGGTTTTGAGCAGATCCTAGGTTTTCACTTGTCACAGAGACTTCCCGCTGGGTGCCCTATGGTTCCCTGAGATTAACAGCCAGGATTTCAAATCAAGTGGGGCACAAGGCCTCCATTCAGGGCCCTTCACCCTGTTACAGAAACAGCACAAAGGTGCAGGACAGCCTCACAATGGGCACAGAAATGAGCAGACCCTGCCCTTCTGTACGCACACGTGCGCAAACAGTTCACAGGCAGTGCCCAGGCACGTTTTAAGCAAACTCCAGTTAGGAAACAGTGCAAGCTCACATGCTCTATGCTTATTAGCCTTTTCCACTGCTCTGTTATTTTCTCTCCATAGCTAAATGAACGGCTTTTTAAAGGGGTTGAGAAAGACATTCCAACTGTAGTGGATACACACTTCAATTTAAAGTCATCCCCTCTAAAACAAGCAACACCGAACTAACAGAAAGCCATTAGAAAAATGCACTCTAATTTCACGTTTCATTTTTAAGACTTTAAAAGTTCAAAATCTCAAATTCTATTCCTAACCACAAGAAATTTTCAATTATTAAATACAGTTGGAAAAAAAACCAAAAGAAATTTAGTAGGAATCACTGAAAAGGACATTTGTTCTGCCTCAGTTTATATTCTAGCATGAGGACTGATTAACTGAGAGCACTGAGAAAAGACAGAGTTCCGGTGTGTGACAGTCACCTCCCATATATAATGTACAGAGGGACTCTGAGGTTAATGTCTGGCTGCTTTAATAGATATAGAAAAGTTTTATCCAATAACAAACTTGAGCTTTTTCACAAGCTGACTTGCTTGCTTGCTTTATTTATTTTCAGCATGTACTTATTTTAATCTCAAGAAGTGTAATTAAATATAAGTAATTCAATAAACAAGAAGAGGGCAATGTCAGAATCAAAAAATACAGAATGTGGTTACCACTGCAGTTCATAAACCAGCAACAAATAAGCACAGCTTTAAATTTTAAAACATCACTGTCATCTTCGGTTATTTCTAAGTTTTAAAACGTACACACAAGTATGTAAACTATTATACACATATAAATAGTCACCACATGTTTCTGACATACATATTAAAGTGACGCCTCTTTTAAAAGAATACCATACTTCGATAACACTGAAAGCAATGGGAACGTGGTTGTTACCCTTCCAGAATTCTTCACCTGTGTTACTTTTCTACATCCCACATACAAATTTAACAAGGGATGGGCTCTGGTCTTAACCTTCTTTATGTTGTGAGTCAAACATAAAATGGGAAACTGTCATACCAACAACAAAAGTGTAAAAAGAGTACAGGTAGGGGTATGTACATATTTGCTTCAGAAACTTTCACTTACAAGGTGAACTAAATACTAATGGCAACATTAGACTCTACAGAAAATGTAGAATCACTAAAACATCAGGGTACTTTTAAGAAAATTAAAATGGGAAAATATTTCCCTGGTATGAGTTCAAAAGACAGAGATCAACAATGAAAAGAAAGATGGCTCATTCCCAGACACTCACCCTCTAAAGGGTGCTACTACACTAACGGTTTTTCATTTATCTTTCCATAATTTTTCAATGTGTCATCAAGTACAAATGGGAATTTAAATTCTTTTTCCCTTTTACACAGCTGGAGAATATTTCCTGTAAATAACATAATTTGCAGTCCCTTACCAATGTTTTTTAGATCATTCTACATCAACAGCTCAATATCCATTTCATTCTTTCCTTACGGCTATGAAGTTCTGTATTATTGGTAGATACCTGAGCTAACCAGTCACCTACTAATGTACATTTATGTTGTTTCCAGTCTTCCCTACTTCACGCAGCATTAGAGCAAGCATCCTCATGCATAATTTTCATGTGAAATTTCTCTGTAGTGTAAATCTCTACAGGTGCATTTT